AAAGTTAATGATCAAGATTTAATATTTTTTTTGTTTCTGTAAAATATGATAGAAATAACTTATAAATAAGATTGTAAGGAGTAATTGACTATAGAATGGCTTGCAACTAATATTTTAAAATTTAACATTAAACATTGAAAACATGTTTTATTAATTCACTTATCAAGTTGCACAGATTTGTAACTCTTATTTTTAAATTTACAATCAACAATATAAGGATGTGCAAATGATCATCTTCCAAAATTTAACACAAAATACTGCATGCAAAAAACTTAAAAAATAAGGTTATTTAAATAAATTATCTTTAAAATTAGGGATAATAAAACTTTTAGTTTCTTAAGTTTGCTTCAATTATCAATTTGGTGTTTTAAGTTTAATTTTTATTGATTCAGTTCTTTAAATTTGTTTCAGTTATCAATTTTTTTATTTATTATTTAAATGAGAGAAAACACTGTTAAAATTTGTTAACATAGATAAAAAATATTAATGGTAGACATAAAGATTAATAAAAAGAAATATAAGTATTTAGGTAAAAAAAAGCTAAACTCATAATTTTTTTAAAAAATAAATGAACAAAACACAGTATGAAATTAGATTAATAAAAAAATAAATTAATTTGAGGGCTAACTTATTTTTATTCAGCTACATATGCATGGCAATTTATCAAAATACTTTAAATAATAGATTAGTTTCAGAATAATTTTTTAATTTAAAGGACTAAGATGATAGTTTAAAAAAATATAAGGAATTAAATCAATAAAAATTAAACTTGAAGAATCAATCCCGATAATTAAAGTAAACTTAAGAAATTAAAATTTTTGCTACCCCTTAAAATTATGATTTTTTAAGGACCTTTAAATGGTATTTCGGAAATTTTTGGGTCTTTTATTAGCATTAATTTTTACTTTTGGCCCCAAAACTTTAAAGGCATAGTTTTCACAAAGATCTTTTATTTAAAAAAAATCATGTAACTCATGTCTTTAAATTTATAAATGTATAGTTTTAGACATGGGGTAATTTTTTTATAATAAACAGAAATGATAGATGAATACAACCAAAAAATATTAAAAATCAAAGGTGGCTTGTAAATTTAAAAGATTCCACTAAAAAAAATAAGATTACTAAAGAAGTCAAAAGTAGGTTAGAGAAATTTCAGAAATCACTTGGAAAAATTGGCAACTCGCTTGAAAATTTAGCTATTAAAAATTATCTTATGCTGTAATCAACTATTATCATAATCAATTACCATTAATCACTTACCACTAGCTGTTATCAAAATTTTTTAATTTTAAAAATATTTCAAATTAACATAATCAAACATATTTTCATTTTATTTTGTTTTGAAAAATGATTTGCAATTTTTTTTAAACGAAAAAGTGAAAACAAAACCAAATGAGTTCTTGGTAATTTTAAACTTTCGGAAGGCATTTATATTCAATCAAAAAGTTTATTTTTTTAGAGTAAAATGCTCTGACCACCCTTTCACTTTATCTTAATTACATATACCTCTCTTTTATTTTGAAGACATACAATTTAATCTAATCCATTAACTCTATTACAAATACTCTAAAAAGATATTTTTAAATTAAAATTTGTATTAAAAAAATTATTTACTAATTCATCCCTCACCTTAGTAAATCCTAAATCATTTTATTTTAATAGTTACATCATTTCATTGTAAAAACATGCTCACAAATTTAAAATTTAAATTATTTATAAAATCTCTTGAACTTATATCATTTTATGTTATGAGTTGAATAAAAATAATTTTACAAAATTTGATAAAAATTAAAATCATAATATTTTATAATATGATAAAAATTAATAAATTTTATAATATAATAAAAAATTTGAAAATCTATTTATTATATTTTTTAGTTGTATACAGTTTTTTTTTTTGCATATATAAATTTTTAGACAATTCTTATGATAAAGAGGAGCATTTTGGTCAAATTAAAAGTTTAAAAGTCAAACTTAATGGTCAACAAACAGTTGGATGAATGGAAATAAAATTTTAAATATAAAAAGAAGATTTATGTAACATATATTTAATTTTAAAGGAGGTTTACATGAGTTTTCAAAATAGATGAGATGTCTGTGTAATTAAGGCATAATAGAAAGGTAATGCGTGTATTATACTCTTTTTTTCACCATGACCCTGGTCTTTTTTTTAAAATTGTTAGAATTTGTGGTCGTTTGTTGTTAATTACTAAAAGTTTTGTAAGGTCTTCAAATATTATTTTCTCATTTAAAATTGTTCTTAAAGTATTCATGCCCATCTTAAACGTGCTAGTTCGCAAAACGACACCTTTACAATCAATCTTGCAACAGACGTAGCCCCATTTGGATAAGCTTGAAAGCTAGTCTTTTCGTTTTTATATATAAGATATTTTTAATTAAATTATATAAATTAATAAATTTTTTTATTTAATTAAAAGCACAGCAATATTTTAATTTTATTCTTAACTATTGTAAATAAAAAATAATTTTTTAAATAAATTAATGAGATTTTTTTTTATTTTTTTAATTTAATAAAGTATAATAGTTCACTTATTAAAAAAATATACTAACGATATTTTATATTTAAGAACAAAAAAAATTCTAGAAAACCTTTAATATATAAGGGCAGAGGGAGTACTTCCTCTTGTCTAAAATAAAGACATTTTTTATTAGTTGGTGTTAGACTATTAATCTAAAATGTAAAATATTCGTAAATAGCGTTAAATTATTTTTTTCACAAAATTCATTATTAGAGAGAGATTATATAATGATTTTAATTAGAAGGTAATCTTGAAAAGTGACGTTAAGATTTTACTGTTTTAATGATGCAAATTAGTTTTCTCAATCTTTTTGAAACAATTAAAAATGCCCTATATTTTGAATAAAAGGGACTGCCACTTTAATGATTGGGTCGCAATTGTGAGTCCAATTTCATTAAAAATGCTTTTTATTTTAAATAAAAGGCTTTTGTTTTTCCTCCAAGAATGATCATAAAATCTTAAAGAATGAACTAATGATAGTTAGGTTTTTATGAATTTTTTTTATAAAATAAGTTGTGAATATTAATCATATAAGGCTTCTTGTCTGCATTAATTATAGGGAACGACTATATAAGAATGAAAATAAAGGTAATTAAAATATATTAATTTTAATTAGAAAATAATCTTGAAAAATAATAACAATTTTTTATTATTTTACAAACTGCTTTTAATTTTTTCTTTATTTTTGTGGAACAATTAAAAAAATCCTATATTTTCCGCTTCACATTACCTATTCTGGCTCCTAAATCATATAAGGCGTTTTTTCAGAATAATAATAAAGTCTAAAAAATTAATGATAATTAAGTTCTTGAAAATTTTTCTACAACTAATTAATGTTTTAAACAATTCATAAAAAGATCTGTATCAAGGATGAAAAAGAAAAAAAATTTCTAGAAGTAATCCTATGAAAAGTTGTAGATTGCAAAGAGAGTAGATTCAAGATTGTATAGATTGGTTTGGTATTTATGTTAAACCTTAATATTTTCTGAGCTGGGACAATATTTATGGGGTCTGTGTTTCACATGTTGATATTAAGATGGTAACAAGTCTCTTTCACGACGGCCGGCCAAATAAATAAATATATAAAATTTAAAATAAAAACAAAAGTTAAGTCTCACTCACGTCATGAGATATCATAAATATTTGTTTTTTTTGGTGGGGGGGGGGGGTTTGCGTCATTTGCATCTATCAATGGTCATGATTGTGACATCGAACTTGATATCAGTTAAAAGTAGACAGGAGCAATTAAATTTAAGTTTAGAAGGATTGATTCAATGACAATTATGTCTTTAATTTTTTAAAAATGAACTATAAATATTAATTTAGATAATTATGAATGAAAGTTACATTTGAAATTTAAATATCTCATATATGATTAAGAATATGAACTTGTAATTTTTCGAATCACTATTTGTAGATAAATTATTAGATAGACTGGTCGTACTATGTTATTTGTGGTCTATGCAATTATAATACAAAGTCATCTAAATAAAATTTTATATGATATTATTTTAATTGATTTTATTTTTATAATAGAATACATATTTAATTTTTTATATTTTCTCTCTCTACTATCATTATAATATCAAAATTAATACATGACGTGGTGCACCCAGCCGATTTATCCAAGAATTTCTCAATATTTGCAACTCATTGTTCAAAAAAATTTATTGCAAACCTAACTAATCTTTTGAAACTTAACTATCATTCTTTCTAATAAAATAATTAAGCAGTATTTAAAAAAAGTAGAATAGTTAAGCATTACGGCCCCAGATATCAAGACACACACACACTTTTTAAAACTTGTAAGTAAAAAATTAGAATCTAAATATGGTTTCTATTATTGAATACTCTTTTAAAATTTACATGTCATTCCTATCAAAAGATTAATGAATTGGACAATAATGAAAAGAACACCTGTCGATCAGATTCCAACCAGCAAAAAGGGGAAAAAAAGCAACCGCACTTCTTATATGCTTTCTTTAAATGAAAAGAGAAAAAGAGAGGACAATAAATGTGAGCAGAAAAAAAAACAGAGAGTATAACTAAAATGAAGAGAAGATATTTTCTCTCGTTATATTTGCATGAGAAAGAGAAAATAAAGAAAAAATAAAAGTGACTAATTTCCCAATAACAATAACATAGTACTCATGTAAAAAAGATGTTCACTTAATTACTACAATGAAAATGGCTGTGACCACTCAAGCATATAGAAATGTGAAGTTTGAATTCATGTAAATGTAGAAAATGCATCTTTAGAAGAGTTACCTCCAATAAAACCTGACAATGCTTGAACCTGACACAATTTAATTATTAAACCTGACAATGCTTGAATTAATATAATCCAGTCTGATAGCCATACAAGAAAATTATTTATTTTGTTCTTCATAGTTTGTCTTATTATACAAATAAGAAAAAGATCTAAAAAACGTGGAAGCTATGGCTATAAAAGTAGGTGAGGAGGAACCGAATTATGCAAGAATGAGTAAGGAAAGGCAATTAATAATACAATGATGAACATCATAAAGCAATTGGCACTCCTTGTTGTGTGCTTACTAGCAACCTTTGGTTTGTACTACAACTACATTAATGCTACAAGCCTTAATCCCATCCAAATCCGATCATTGGATCAAGTCCCACGACTTGATGATCAACAACGGCAACCAGGATTCGATTATTTTTTGTTAGCGTTGCAATGGCCAAACGCTTTCTGCAACATTGCACGACACAGGAAGCCACCGAGTCATGGACTTAAACGGCAGTGCGATCCAGATCATCCACTTCCCAAACACCAAAACTTCACCATTCATGGACTCTGGCCTCAGTTGAACATTGGCGTTTCTCCACTAAGTTGCAGTACGACGGACCAGATGACAAATAAGATTGTAATAAACTCTCTGTCGTTCATACTGATCATGATGCTATTGTTTAAATATATATGTTTCATTATAATCTCGATCTGTTGATATTGATCATCATCATGCGTGTGTGTTTCACACATACACGCGCGCGCGCGCGCAGCTTAGTAAATTCAAGGAAGAGCTGCTTGATTACTGGCCGAATTTGAATTCTGCTAAGGACTTTGAGAAAAGCAAGTGGTTTTGGAGACACGAGTGGAACAAGCATGGAAGCTGTTCTTCAAACAAGTTCACACCAGACAAGTATCTCAGAATCTCTCTTGATCTTGCCAAAAAGTATTCTACTTCCATTTTGTTGGAGCTGGAAAAAGCAGGTAATTAAGGGAACATGATTTAATATGTTTGATTATTGTAAACCTATAAAACTGGCTACTTGAGTGTATAGATTTGTGACGTCGATCTATCACCTCATATATAAACTTTTTGCTCAAGTTCAAGTCAGTCAACTGGTTTGGACTAACCTGTTCCTAGGTCATGGGGCCTCTAATGCCTGTTGTAGTATCCAACTTTTCAATTGTTATTTTCTCTTGTTTCCATTGATTATTAAGGTTCTACATAAAAAGTAAGATATTTCGATATTATGCAATGAAGAAATGTTGTAGTTTTGCATTTTCTTTAATGATTTTTCAAAGAAAATAAATCCAAACCGTACAAGGATATTTTTCCCTAAAAAATCATTAAAAATACAAAATTACACCGTTTCATTACCTTGGAATATCAAAATACCTCTCATTTTATGTAGAATTTCATGAACAAAAGATACAAGAGAAAAATCCCAAGCCTGTATGCTTTTAATGGTTGGATTATTCGGATTAGTGGTTGTTTAGAGCCTCTAACGTGCCTTTCCTTAATATATTTTCCAATATCCTCCACTCTCGATTTCATTTTTCTCTTTTCTGATGTACAGAGATTCCTGAAATTGATTTTCTTTTTCTTGGGAAGATATCATAGAAGGATTAACATTCATTAGTGGGTTTAATTTCGGTTTAATTTAGGGATCAATCCAGATGGAGTTACTCCACATCGTGATGCAGATGTACAGGAGGCAGTAAAAAAGGCCACGAAATATGAGGCAATGCTAAACTTCCAATTAAATGAATTAGGTGAACGTCTTCTTTCTGAGATTCATCTCTGTGTCAAACAAGATGGTGTCACACTCTTTAATTGTGATCCTGTTTCCTTGTTTGCCTCCGTTCCTTCACCTTCACCGGCACCTGTGCCATCGCCACCGCCACGTATTCTCACGCTCCCGTCCCTTATCATGTAAGTTATTTTTTTTTTTCGAAAAAGTTACTTTTAGGTTTCATACAAGAAATCTAAATAAAAAAAAATCCTATGAAATTATGAAATTATTCCGAAGTCTCATACTTTTTATTGAAGTTATCAATTTATTGTATTAAAATTGTCAATTACTGTTGAATAGTTGTGGAGTTGTTTAGTTGACATCTAAGCAATAATAATTCACAACTATCCAGAACAATTTCGGTAAAGGACATGAAGTTTAGAGTAATTTTGTGGCATATTGTTCGATCAGCTAGCCTCAAGTGATGGCCAGACAAAATTTTCATTTGTTTGTGTGCTGTTTTTTAAAATTTTATTCCCTGTTTCAATTAATTTATTCTTATTATTATTATAATTTCATTTTTAGAAAAAAGATTTAGCAGTGTTAAATGTGTTTTTAGTGATGACACGTGGGTGACAAGAGGGAGACGATTCATAAGCCCAAATGAAAATAAATAAATAAAGAAGTCTCATAGTTTGTTTTTTGCCTGTTTCTTGTAGGAAGGAAGTGGCGAAGAGCTTTAAATTGAGCAGACGGCTTCTATAAGAATATGACACATGCAGCTGCATTGAACACGTCATATTGTCATGATCTTGAGGAACCAATAAAGTTATATCTCTACTAATATTATGTCTAAATCTTTTTTTCTTTTTTAATAGCAAGCCATGTGTGTTTGATATATCCTATATATAATATTGTATCTAATAATAATGTGTCTACGTAATTGAGAATAAATGCCAATGGTGTCTGGAAAGTCCTGAGAGTTATATTGTTTTTTTGGTTAAAATTTCAATACTTGTTAAAATTTGAAAACTCAGTTGCAATGAAAATCATTCTATAGTTAGCTGTGAATACGGAAGATTGAAAAAAAAAATTAATTCCATTAAGTTTAGAGATTTGAGGCTAATCCTTCTAAATGATTGACAATAGAATGGCTTGCAACTATATTTTCAAAATTTAAAATTAAACATTGAAAACATATTTTGTTAATATTCACGTGCTCATCAAGTTTCATAGATTTTTCACTATTATTTTTAAATTTACAACTGACAATAGAGGGACTTGCAAATGATCATCATCCAAAATTTAATTAACACAAAATATTGCATGCAAAAAAAAGAAACTTAAAAATAAGGTTATTTAAATAAATTTCTTTAAAATTATGATCATTTTTTTGGTCTTTTATTAAAAATATAAAGGTAGTCTAAACATTTACAAAGATTTTGGAAAAATCATGTAACTTGTCACTTGAAAATTTAATAGTTTTAGAATTGGAGTAATTTTTTTTTATAAACAGGAATGATAGATGAATACTAAGGAAGTCAAAAGTAGGTTAGGAAATTTTCAAAATTCACTTTGGAGAAAATAGGTAACTCGCTTGGAAGTTTAGTTATTTTAGACTTTGGCTGCAACTGGTGACATTGGTTCTAGTTATTTTCAAAATTGTCATATTCTCTCATTTAAAATTGTTCTTAAATACAGAAAAGGACAATGTATTCACGCCCATCTTAAAAAATGTGCGAGTTCGCAAAAGGACACCTTTAACTTACATGTAATTTTCAACAGACGCAAGCCCACTTTGATAAGCTTGGAATCTACTCCCTGTGACCTGGCAAAAATGGATCGATCCTGTAACTTTAGGTGCACTCCCCCTAATCATACTATCTTCACTAGCTTCGTCACCAAAAGACAAAAGAACAAATTCGCCTATAAACCTTAAATTTTTTTTTATATAATATTCTCTTTTAATTTTAAAAATGGTATAATCAAGTCTCTACTATTAACAAAGTTAACATAAAAGGACCTCAAAATTTATAAAAAAAGACCAATAAATTTTTTTTGTTATTGTCTATAATTTTGAAGTCATTGTCTATAATTTTTAAATTCCTTATTGTAATTTTTAAGATCATTTTCTGGTCAACAAGCAAAGTTAACTTTTATTAATTATAAAAATCAGATTATATTACATAATTTTTAAAATTTGAAAAGAAATATTGTACTAAAAACTTATCATCTTTAATGTTATATAGCATATAACCCTTTTGGCTACTATAGGATATCTTAAGAATATACATGGTTGAGATCTAGGTTGAAATAATTTATCTACCCCTAATGTCTTAGCAAAAGTTAAACACCCAGAGATTCGTAAATGATTTAAATCTGATTGTTTATGTACATATTTCATAGGATGTTTGTTAATTAATGGCCTTAGAGGGGGTTCTATTGATGAGGTATGTGGCAGTCCGTACACTCTCTGCGCCCATTTGCATATGTCCGTGTTTTCTCTCAACTATTCTGTTTTGTTGAGGGGCATAAGGACAAGCGATCTCACGAATAATTTAATTATCTACAAAATAAGTTGTCACATTTTTATTGTGGAATTCAATACCATTATCACTACAAACCCCTTTAATTTTAGCAGAAAATTGATTTTGTACATATGTAAAGAAGATTTTTAGATAATAGCTAGAAAACTTCATTTTTAGTAGTCATCAAATATACCCATGTTGCATGGGAAAAATAAACCACAATAATTAAAAAATAGGGAGAATTACATTTAAGTCCCAAAAAGTCTAATAACAATTGAATTAAGATCATTGAATTGGCCTTAGTTCAGTTCTTAATGAATCTTGTGGTAATTAATTTTCTTATATAAAACTTGTATGTAATTTGTTCCTACACATCTACATGTAATAGATCAAAACAAGATACAAAATTAATTTCACTAACAGTAAAAGATAAATGAGGTTACTTTGCTTGCAAACAAATGTCACAGTTACTAGAGGGAGAATTTCAACTAAGGATAAAAAAAGAGAAATATTTACTAGTGGGTCCAAAAAAAATTTAAAAATTCTATGCTGATTTTTTGGATTGAACTGAAATAAAGTTGTTGGCTGAAAAGACCGATGTGCCCTTGTGCAAAATAACTTTACTTGTTAACTATACAATATGACTTGTTAACCACTTAACTTTACTTGTTAATTAGTAACTTCTTAAACTTGACTACATTACTTGTTAATTTTTTAAACTTTACTTATTAATTCCACAATAACAATTGTTAATTTTGTAACTTGACTCGTTAATATAGTGATAAGACTTGTTTAATCTCTTGATATAAAAAGCAACTAAATTATTTATTAATAATGTAACTTTACCTATTATTACTCAATAGCACTAGTTAATTGTCCATCGTCACTTGTTAAATGACACTTGATATCTTATTTAACATCAAATTTGTAACAAATCCATTACTCATGAAATTATTATCTTAAATTGTAAACTGCAAAATATTACTTCTTAACCAAATAATATTAATTAATAACTCTTGGTAGGGATTAGTGAGTAAATTTAACTAGTTAACAAGTCTTGTTGTGTAGTTAACTAGTGAAATTATATGATTAATAAGTCTTTTGATTAGCTGCCTTTTTTGTTTCTTTTGCAGAACGACATTTCGGTCTTTTCAGCCAACAACTTTATTTCAATTCAGTCCAAAAAATTTGTTGTACAATTTTCAGAATTTTGTTTGGGACCCATTGATGAATATTTCTTTTCCCTAGTCCTTAGTTGAAATTCTTCCTTTATTATATTACTATCAACAGATGACAATTGATCCTTTAATGAAGCCAAATGTCTAATTAAGTACATTGTAGTTAAGATGCGTAGCCTATCCTAAAATGCCAAAAGCTTAGTCATTGAAGCAGTATGACTATTAACAAGGACTATAGTTTCTTCCACTATGTAAAGCATATATTCTATTTTACCAATCACTTTCATGCTTTTTTCGGCCATTAGGAGTATGGATTTGTAAAGGAGGACCAGTATATTTGTATTCATCAAGGTAATCTAAAGAACTGACAACGTGACTAGTGGCCCCAGAATCTAATAACCAGTGTGCCTTATGTGTGTGTCCTAAAGGCAAAATTGTGAGTCAAACCTCAAGACTGTTCTGAGTCATTACAGTGACAGCTCCAAAACTGGAACATACTTGGCTTCCTTCGTCAATAATTTGAGGATACTTTCATAGTCCTGCTAGAATAAAAGTTAGCATTCTTGCCAGACAAGATTTGCATGTTCATGATAGACAAATGGATAATATGAAGAAGAGATCTTGATGGAACCAGGGTTTCAAAATGGGTCGGGTCTGAGCCTATTGGCTCTGATACAAAAAATGAATAATGCCTCTTATTAAACCATTAGGCTGGCAAATTTTAAGCTTCAATATCGAAAAATAAAATTACTCTGGGCTTGCCTATACAACACAATATACCATCAACCTAATAAGCCCAGTTACCGCAAAACCATTTAAGAAAAGAAATATAAGAAAATAGTAACCAACTAATATCTTCCCCACAGACAGATTTAGTTGTTGCACTAAACATTCATTATTTGAAAAATTTAAGTAATATTGTATTTTTTATAAAAAAATTTCGCCAAATATGTTTTTTTTTCTGGTTAAATATCACATATTATAATGTAAGAAATTTGAAAAATATAAGAAGTTATCATGCTGAAATGGATTCTTTTACACACACACTGATGGACGTGCAAAACAGGTCAAGCAGGTTTTTATGATTTAGGTCAAAATTGAATTTAGTGATTTAGGTCAAAACAGGTCAAGGTTTTTAAAAATACAGATTAATAACGATAGATAATTTGAACTTCATAGTTGGTTGAGAAGCTAAAATAAAACATTGTGCACATGTTAACAAGAAAAGAATAATATTTAGAAAAAATGAATTTTGAATTACTCTAATCTGTTCCATTTTTATTACTATATATTATAGATTTTGTAAATTGTAAGTTATCTACATTTTTAACCTAAAATCTTATCATTATCACACATTACAAGGTGATATGGAATTCGTTTTCCTTTTTTTTTATTTTTTTCTTTTCATGTGATCTCTATTAATTGGATGATATTTGTTTTACAAGTCCCTATATCAGTGGTTTTAGTTTCTATAGAGATTGAAAATATTGAAAAAAAACTATAGGGATTAAAAATAAAATTCTATAAAATTATAGGGACCAAATATTATATTTTCCCTTCTTTGAATTATTATTTTATTTGGAAAAATTACAATTAGGGATCTATAAGAACATTAATGACAATTCAGGGATTCAGGGTCTCTCATTGTCATTAATATTCTTATGGGATAACAATTATTTTCCCCTTTTTTTTATTGAATAACCCTTCACTAAACTTGTTTTTGATTTTGATGATAACAAAATATATGAAAAACATTTCAAATCACTTATGATTTAGTAATTTATTTATAGAAACAAGTATCAAATTTCATTTGAAGGGAATTATTTTCTTGCTGGAAATTTAGACAAATTTTAAACAAATTATGGAATATTAATGGACAACAAATTATGAATAAATTATGACTTATTTTTAAACTGCCCTTTTTTCATCACTAATCATCTATCTTATTTGAACTTAATGAAGTTATATAAAATAGTTAATAGATCCGTATAATAAGCACCGAAGGAGGAAACAGACATTTTATTACCTGAATCAAACACTAAAGAGACTTGAACATGATACATCAAGATTACCACAGCCAGGTAGAAAAAAAGAGACTTTGCAGCGTCCTCCCTGTGAAAATAATAATAATAATAATACCGTGAGACTTGTTTGTTTTGGGATTACAATTACAATTATAATGTAATGTTTGAGAAGCATAGTTAAAGTGGACATTATAGTTGCTGAAAAATTGACTAACTAGGGATAAATCTAAAAAGTATCGAACTCAGCCCTCTGTCTACATTCATAAA